TCTAGATATACTTTTAAACTTTTATAAAATAAATTATAGGAAATTATGTTCTGTAGCTTCTTTTAATAAAATTTCTACAACTCATTTCCTTTGGTGCATTCTTTTGTTGATTAGTGTTTTGGTATATACAATTGGTGGTTAGTTATACATGTTCAATCCCAGTCAACTTGTATATGCAATGTTTTTCAAATTAAACTTGTGCAATGTTTATTTTGAATTGCTTTGATAGTTATCGTCATGTTGGAAGGATTAGAAAAGTGCATAGTTATAGACAAAGTGAAGGTACATTAGATGTATTCATAATTAAATCAAACCCACAGTTTATGATACCTATTTTTAAAAATGAAATTTAACTATAACCTTAAAGAGGTGATCTTATAATAATGCTATATATGTGAAACAGAATTATTATAAGATTTATATGAAAAACTCCTATGCTATCCACTCAAACTTCATCCTTTTAACTAAGCAATAACCACCAATAAAGAAGTCACAAACCACAACCACAACCCCTCTTCTTATTTATTTATTTTTGTTTTTAAAAACAAACTTCATGCCCTCTCTTCATCCACTTTTCATCACGCAAACATTTATCTTATTACATTTTTCCTTTCCATTTCATTCATTTTCCACTAAATAAGCTTAGGCTTATTAGTAAGGCCTTAAAAACTGAATAGAATTTCATGATCAGCCATGAATTATGTTTATTTGTACTTTCAACAAGTAGGCAAGGTGATTACCTTATATGTTTAATTGGATACTAATTGCTTGGATGCTTTTACAAAGCTTGAGATGACTTGCTAGCCGGAAAAAAGTGGTTTGTAGGTATATCTTTAAATTTATTTATAAAATTATAATATGGACAACAGACTCTAAAAAGTGCTCGATTCTTGAGAAAGTGTATTATTATACAGTGGAGGAATAGAATCAATAAATTAAGGGCAAATCAAAGTATAATTATCCAAGAAACAACCATTGTATCAACCAATGTTTAAGAACTAAATGCTGGTAAGATATGATAATTAATATTATTATTAAGATGATAATGCAATAAACAGACGTGCATCGCACAATTTTAAGACTAGTTCTCATTCAAAAATATATACCTCCAAAACAAAAAAAATAGTAATTTATGATTAAAGTTTAACTTTATACAAAAATTAGCACTTATATAAACAAATTTAGTAATAAAATATTTAAGTTAACATAATATCTTGATTAAGCCACCTAAATCACAAATTTTGTTTCTGTTAATAAAATAAATTAATAAAAAAACTAAAGAGGTTTATGAAAAATTTATTTTATGTAAACAATTTATAAAAATACCTTCTCGTTCAATAGGATTATATCGAAACTTGTTAATTCATCTTATTTGCGAAAGTTTAGTGTGTCAAACAAGCTAGAAACTCGTAGTTAATTTTTCGATCAATCATTTTTGCTCGAATTTATTTCTCAAATTAAATTAGATATTTAGATCTGCATGTGAAAACAAAATATAAACATATACAATCGTTACGTATCCCAAATAAACACATTCTAAGTAATAATTACAAATGTATATTTAAACATGGATTTTATAAATTATGCTAAGAATTACCCAATCATTGATCATGACCTAAAACTGACACAAAATTACTAACACAAAATTCACTTGATGTGGTTTTGTATTGATACAGAATTGGAACAATTTTTATTTTAATCATAAATGCTATCAAATTTTATCTTATAAATTTGTGTACTTATCTTTAATTTTTTACCATTAGTTTATAAGATAAATGTCTTTTTCTAAAATTATAAGATAATTTTATTTATGGTTTTTAAATCCACGTGACATTAAAATTTTAGATGTCTAATATAATTTGTTACATTTACCTAGGTGTCAATATAATTTATTTTTTTATCATTCGTCACTTTTTCTTAGGTAGCAAGTGATTTTTTTAATTCTAAAATAAAATACAAATCTAATTTCTTATTATTCAATATAATACCTTTACTTATGTGGCGCGCTGAATATTTTCCAAAAATGCCTACATACTTTTTTTTAATATAATAATATTTAATTAGATATATTAGATTAGTAATTAAATGATTATAATGATTTTCTATTATTTTTTATTAAAATATATTATAAATGGGTCTGATTTTAAAGAACTTTTTAAAAGGAATTTTATGATGGAAATATTATTGAGTTATAATATATTAATTAAAAGTTATGATTAATTTCGTATATATGAAATATTAGAATTCTATCGATAATAAAAATTTATACAACATTTTTATCTTAAAAATTTATCCAAAATTCGCTTACTTAGCATCATATGTGTTAGAATAATACATATTTATCTCCTATATGGATCGACACTTGGCGAAAAACTGGAATACCAAGTGTCGATGTCTCGTGACCTAATTGCGATACCGGCTTTATATATATATATATATATATATATATATATATATATATATATATATATATATATATATATATATATATATATATTAGTGATATGATATGATATATTATATAAATTAAATATGCATAAACAACTTAATTTAATTAATTTTCAAAATTATCAAAATTACAAACTTATTCATAAAGTAGGGTTTATATGAGTTAATTTAAACAACTAACCCAATGAAAATTAACAATTCAATCATTAATTTAATTTAAGTAATCATTTGCAATTTCAAGTAAATTAGGGCTCATATTAGAATTAGGGTTTTTTCTAATCTACTCCCTCCGTCCCTTAATTAGATGTCTACTTCTAAAATTACACGGGAATTAAGGAACTTGGAGTATCCTTAGAACCCATGAATGAGAAATACAAAGGGAATAAAAAGACATTAATTGTTGGCTTTGATTACAACAAAACATAATCAAATTAAATGCTTGCACATGTCAACAATCCTTTAATAGAAAAAATAAAATACCAATGACATTTGTTTATAAAAAATAAAAAGATTAATCAAATTAATTTATATGCAGCACATGAATTGCAATTGTTCAAATGGGAGAATGGGGAATAGAGAGAATAAAATGTTTTTTTTTTATTTATTTTATTTTTAATTTTTTTATTTAAGAAGGAAAAGAATAAAATGTTTTTGTGCAACCATTAAATGTCAAAAGCAAAAGTAAATAAAGTAGTGTCACATCACACTGATTTGGGGACAATTTGGGAAATAAATTTGGAGAATAAGGATAATTTGGTAAAAAATCACTTACTAAAAAAGGAAACAGGCATATAATTTTGAAACCTTTAAAAAGGAAACTAGACATTTAATTATGGCACGGAGGCAGTACTTGATTAATACAATCCATTTATACATAAAAAAGTTAGAAAAAATACATGCAATGAATAACACATAACTCATCCATATAAAATTAAAACAAATAACAACCAGGCCAATTGATGCTATCCAACTCCTTAAAAACCTATTTTTGGGCGCAATTTGACTTATGGACAGTCCACACTAAGTACGTTAGTTTATGGTTTAGTTTAGAACTTTGTGTCCACAGAAAAAATTCACTACTCATACGTTCGATCTTGACAAGCACAAATTAGCGCATTAACTTAAAAATTGTCCAACAACTAACGATATCCTAATCTAATTAGGCGCAACACCGATTATTCTAATTAATTAATTAAATTCTAAGTTATTATTCAAATTTTAATTTGAGCAGTTATATTTGATCACATTGAATTCACACACAAGGGGCTCTTGATAGTACCGTCGGGTTATACTATGATTAAACAAGAGTGTAGAAACAAACTCTATGTCCAGATATATGTATAACACAAATGATTAGAATATTGTAAGCTAGTGTAATCCAACCATTGAAAGTCCACCCGTACGATCAAATACCACACAATTTTTTTTTGAGGGGAAATACCACACAAAATTCATTAAGGTTGTGTGTTTGGATACTTATTTATCTGAGTGATCTCCATAGAAAATACTCGAATTTCCTAAATTCCTCAAATACGCTACATTTTATAAAAAGTTCTCGTATACAATCCACGACACGTCAACCAAAAACTAGATTTTTAATTATTTATTTTTTATAAAAGGGTATAGAACTATTAATGAGGGCTTGTTTGGCATCGTTTTTTATTTTTAGTTTCCTATTTTTTTTAAACAAAAACTAAAAACATGAAAAAATTGTTTCCAGTTTATGTTGTTAGTTTTCAAAAATATGATGATTTTAATAAGGTTAACTTATTTTTGATTCATTATGTGACATATATCATATGATTTTAAAATACAAAAAACAAAAAAACAAAAAAACCACAGTGATGCTAAATGAACCCACCTGCCAATGAATTTACAAGTTGTCCCCATCAATCGTTCAGGCATCGACCCAGGAAGAATCAATTCAATTTGAAGCTTATTGTTAATCAATTATTAACTTCCTTTTGTAGTACCCTACCCGCAAGGGAAGTCGAATCCCCATTGTCTCCTTGAAAGAGAGATATCCTGAACCGCTAGACGATGGGGGCATACAGGCTAAACTTCCATCATACTATGAAGTATGAACATATACCAAAATTCAGTTTAGAATTCTTACTCTTAATAAACCGCTAATTGAATAAGCGGTTTCATTCAGAGTAAAACTATTAATTTAGGGCTTGTTTGATATCGCTTTGGTATTTTTTTTTTCAAAATCATATGATACATGACATATAATAATGAATCATAAATTGGTCAAACTTTTGCAAAATGACAATAGAAAAGTAAAAACACTTTTTCTTGATTAATTTTTTTTTTTTTAAAAAAAAAGAAAACTGAATACAAAAAAATCCTAAAAAAAACCTAAATTGCCGGGAAGAAAATAATTTGTGCCGGTGTGGATAATAGGTTCGGAAATTGATAAAATATGGCATAATTATGGAATTTAATTATTTTGAGCAATTTATATTAAAATCACTCTATTTATATATTTTATTTAGCTTTTAGAGGCATATGCATAGTCTATATATAAATCTAAATATCATTTATCATAGAATTTGTTATATACACTCGGGTACATCTTACATTCCAGCACCCAAATATCCAACTACTCCAAAGTTAGTTTTTGCTTTTCATTTAATAATTAAATAAAAAACAAAAGAACAAAAAAACAATAATGTAATTAAAATGAGAACAAAATACTTATAGTGTACGGTACACCCGATAAGTATATAACAAGCTCTCCATTTATCAAACCAAATGATCATACCCCGTAATAAAATTTCTACCCAATGCTTGATCAGAGTTTCGGATGAATCAGTAATAATCAGTAGTTGGTTTATTTTCTACTTCAATTCTTGTTCTTGTTCTTGTTTTTGTTCTCTGTCCTTTTCATATTTTTAGCATCTACATTTATATAAATCCAGTTAAATTATTGAGCTTTTTCTTGCAATACAAAAATTCCAACCTCCAAAAAAAAAAAAATTATGGGTTGGGGTATTTCAAGGTTAATACTCCTGAAATCATTGCTTCATTTTATGATATTTGTGTTAATGAAAAGCAATGGATTCACAATTTTAGCAATCCCATTTCTATATGCATCATTAGTATTCTTATTGGTTTCAATTGCTTCAAACCCTCATATTAATCTTCCTATGCTATTGGGGAAGAACACAGATGGGTCATTCCCAATTTGGTCAATTGTAATGTTTGGCCCTTTTTTGTTTTTTGTACGGCTGTTTTCGATGGTTCGGAGATTGTTGAGTCATGAGGAACCTTTTACTGAGATTTGTGAGGGTGTGTATGTTGGAGGATGGCCTTGTTCATTGGATAAGTTTCCACCTAAGAATCCTGCTGTTATTGATTGTACTTGTGAATTTCCTCGAAATTCGGAGTTTACTAGAAGTGGGTATTTGTGTATTCCTACATGGGATACGAGGTCGCCTCAGCCGTCGGAGATTGAGTCTGCTGTTAAATGGGCTTGCAGGAAGAGAGCTCTAGGAGTGCCGGTGTTCATCCATTGTGCTTATGGTATGACTTTTTGAAGCATAATATTCTTTTTTTGTAAATTGTTTCATAGCTTGTTTATGTTGTTTGATTTGTTATTGTATTACTTAAAAATATGTTTCTTATGCTATATTTGTTGTGTCTTAGTGCTTATATACTTATTAATGAAGTTCATTGTATCTGTCTACCTTTGTCATGAATCTGCTGTTTGGTAGTTGATGCTATGAATGATTAGACTGGTGAAAATGCTTAAAGATTTCTTCTGAGTGGATTCCAAAATACGATTGCAATGGAACTGAATGACTGATTTTGGCAGTATAATATTCTGAACAAGGAATGGTTTGAGGATTATGTGTTATCACAATCCCTTGGTATAGTTTGAAATTGGCTTGCCATGTCAATTGATTGCTATTATAGACTACAAACATTTATAATTCCCGGAAAGAATTTACTATGACTACTTGAGGACATTTTATTTGCTGCTTGCCTGCTTCTTAGCTAGGATTGCATTGATTGACTGATTGAGCCAATGTCTTTGTACCTCTTGTTGTGTGAATTTTTTCTTCTTATTAAAAAATCTATGATTTGCCATTTACCTTCTTAGTTGATGTTTATCAAGCTCAAAAATTTAATAAAAAAAGTACTTCAAACAACTATTGTTCATTATTGAAGCCACCCCAAAGCATACCTCAAGCCAATATGCATTGTTATTGCTAGGATAAGCAGCCGCAAGAAGCCAAGAACCTCACCACAATTCATCCTGTTATACATCTTGGACTAACTTTCTATCTTTCCTTAAAACAACAACATTTTTTCAACGTCAAAACTTTAGGTAGTGTGAAGCTGCACACTGAATCTCTACAGCAATAAATACGTTGATATTATCTTGGGCTTAATGCCTTAAACCTTTGCTAGAATTATCTACCATGATAATCATGGTCAATCATCCCCTTTTTCTTTGCTGCTGTCTTTACAAGCCTTCACAACTCAGTCCCTAAAGTTCCTTGCTGCTCTTTTATCCAAGTTCAAATCAGGCATAATCTGATCCCAAGCATCTAGCACTGCCATGTTTCTTTCATATCCCCCCTAAATTAATATTCTTTAGATGTCAATTCTCATCTAATTCTCTTCTTAATGTCATCAACTCTCATCTCTTGCGCACAGATCTTTAGCTAATTATTCTAACAATAATAAGGCTTTGCCCTTCAATGTAACTTGAAGGTCATTTTTCTAGGTGCAAAGGTAAATTTCAAGGTTTTTGAGGGGCCAAGCGGCCAAGACCTTCTCTGAGTACATTACCAGATGGAGGAAAAGGGCACCCCAAAGTACCTTTATATCTTCCACATCAACCTAGTCGAGTTTTCTTGCATCACTCTATGCCTTTAACCAAAAGTGCCTAAAACTTACTCCCTCCGTTTTTTTTTATATGCATCACTTTCCTTTTATGGGGTTTTTTTTTTAAATGCATCACTTCCTTATTTGGAAACTTTATATTATATTTTATCATTTCTCTCTCTTACTTTAAACCCCACTTAAATTATTTTATCATTTCTCTCTCCTCTATGGTCCCCACTTATATAATAAAAATATCTACTCTCCCTCACATTCTTTCTCTTTCATGGTCCCTATCTTACTTATACTATAATAAATTATTCATCCACACACAATATTATATTACCCTTCTAAAACTCCGCGCATCACCAAGTGATGCATATAAAATAAAAAACGGAGGGAGTATAATACAAAGGTAAAAAATTTCAAAGGCAGTTTAAGTAACTGGAGATTTAACTTTTTTATTATTATTAGAGCTAATACTAGAGTGCTTACTACTACAAAGTAGACCAAATAAGCTGTAGACTTACATCACTGGTAATACACTAAATATAAATTTTTTGATAAAATTAGCATTTCAACAGTCTGAGCAGGAGTTATAATTGGGCTCAATGATAGTATTTATACCATCCTTGGTGATTAATCTCAGGTTTGTGCAAATGTCCTTGTCAAACGATCAAATAACCCTTTAAAACAAATATTACACATTTTCGCTCACCTATTCTGTATTTGTGAATGCCAAGATTATAGTCTCTTGCTCCCAATATAGGTTTTGAGGACTCAAACTGCTTTTGAAAATAAATATAATCATTTTTCGATCACCTATGCTGTTATCTTGAATGCCAAGACTATACTTTTGTTCTCCCAACTTAAAGCCCGCAATGGTGCAAAATGAGTTACAGAGACGTACTTATTTCATTTCCCTTTAGATTCAAAACTCTTCCAGCATTCTCCTTTAGCTGCAGGTTATCAACCTCCCTCCTCAAATTCAAATGCGGCTTACAGGCGCATCAATATGGTCTGCTACATACACAAGAGTCTAGCTGTTCTCTGACCTTCCAAATTTTCATCTGGAAGCTGCCAAAGTCCTTTTTCCTCCACTCTTTCTACTTCATCCTAATATTATATAAGTATTGCAACAGCCTTTGAGATGCCCTTTTTGTACAACCTTACATCCTGGAGCATCTATTGATAAGTAGAAGTAAACCACAAATTTTCAACTGTCAAACCAAAAGCATTGCATCATCTCTTTTTTTGTTACTGTATCCCATTAAAATAAGTGGAGTATGGTTTGACTTTAATGATATAGATGATAAATCAAATGCAATGAAGCCTGTACATCTATATACCACTGTATTGAGTCTATCGACGCAATTAAGACGCTCATGAACACCTTGGTTATCTCTCATTGATCCTACATGATGAGAAAATGGACAAAAATATAGCGTGAGCTCTCAAGACCACAAACTTCTGAATCTTTAGAAGTCATCCATCAGATTTTGTTGATGATGGAGCCACCGATTTTCCCCTTTGAGAATATTGGTTTGAGGGATCAATAAACCTAGAGAATCCTGTTATCAAGCTATTAGGAGTTTGACCTCACTAGTTTCCACTTGCCAGGCTATCTGTTTCTTAGTCGAGTCTGGCTGTCTTCCAGCCATGGAATCTAGTTGTGGCCCTCTCTTCATGTAGCAACATTGTTATGTCAATGTTATTAAACAATTACTAATATTTCGCTTGAGAAGATGGATATTTTGGAAGTCCCCAATTGCCAATTGAAATTGATCTACAGGAACTCTTGCTGGTTGGATTCTTTATAACAACTTTTGTCCATGGTTTTTTATTCGGTTACATGCCCTCTTCCTTTGCCCTTTCTCTCTTGTATTCTGCAGTCATAGATAATTTACCTTGGCTAATTCTCACATTGTGTATCATTATCGTCAAAAAAAGTCTTTGTCTTGCCAAGAGTTCATTATGTTCTTTTTGAAATCTTCTAGGATCTCTCTACTTCATGAACAGAATCAATGTCAATCTCTTCATCAGAAGTATTCAACTCGTTGTCACATACTCGCATGTAGTCATGCAAAAATAGCACCATGACCAAAATAGCCACGAGGATGGCAGGGGTCTTTATTTTTTAAGCTTTTCTAATCAAAACTATACTACGCAGCTATGGTTTAATGTGAATAAGAAGCCCCTGAAAAATTCTAAATATATAATTTAGGGCAAGTATGTGTATGGGAACAAAATTTGACTTCAGTGATCAAGTGAGATATACGTCTATTTGCAACTATTTACTGCCTGGAATATATAATATTTGACTATACTTCCTTTTTTTTTGCATTTTCCAGTGTGCTAATGCACAACTGTTCTTATCATCTTGGAAAGAAATCTTAGCTAGATTAATTTTTTCCAAGTTCCTAAGTTAACATCTCAAAACCATCTCAGATTTAAGAGAGAATTAATAACTACTAATTTATTCTTTTAGGGCAGGAACTTAGGTATCAAGTCTGCTTTATGTAGTGGTGAATTTTCCCTTTAAAAAAAAGAAGGGAAAAATAAAAATAGAAAATTGTAGTCGTAAATCTGTATACAATGCTGTTTTCTGCATTTTGACGTTCTATACCTGACTTGTGATATTTTTATTTTTATTTTTTTAAAAATTGTATCAATTGATTTTGTGATCTTGTAATCATTATCTTCTTTCAGTTAGTAAGTCCTTTTCAAAATTGAATAGTTTTATATTTGGTTGTATGATTTCCAGGACATGGACGGAGTGTTGCAGTAATGTGTGCATTACTGGTGGCTTTAGGAGCGGTAGAGAATTGGAAAGATGCAGAGAAGATGATTCAAGAAAGACGACCTTATATCAGAATGAATTCTCTCCATCGAAAAGCCTTGGAAGAATGGGCACAGCATCGATTATCTCCAATGAAGAGGAAGAATGAAACAGATGTGAGTTCTGTCATCATGTCAAATTCTTTGGGAAGCAAGTAGTTGTACATTGAGAACACACTTCTTTATATCTTCATTACTGTAGCTTTTCTTGGACCCAACTATTCCAGGAGAAACTCCACAAACTAAACTCCTCTTGCTTAACTTTGTCAATAGCAATAGAAATTAATCTTAGTGGAAACAGCTTGTGAAATATTGTTCTTCTACGCTAATTTTGTTTTACTAAAATTATTTCCTGTGTTTCCTTTATTGTCATACTACATATTAGGAATCTGGATAGTTTCCAATGTCATTTACGCTATTATTTATGCTTATTCTAAGTTCAATTTGGACTCTTAAGGGCCAAAATGACCCTTAACATCTTAAGGGGACATTTTTCGAGACACAAATCGAAAAATAAATATTTAATTTACCAGCTCCGGCGAGAATAGTGGCCGGAAAACTCACTAAGGTTACACTTTGCACCCAAGTTATAAGTTTGTGGAGTTTTGGCTACAACGCAACATACAGGGTGTTGGATGCACCTAAGCCATAGTTCGGCCAATTTTGCCAATTATTTAATGTGTTTCCTTTTTATTGTCATACTACTCCATATTAAGAATTTGCATAGTTTCCGCCCTATTTGTTGGAAGCATTTAAGTTATTGGTTAAGTCAATATGTGTAGACACTTGATTTTGTCTCTCCAAAAACCAAACCTAGTGATGAGTACCTTTCACGTCATTTAATATCAAACGAGGTGAAATGTTGAAAAGTCTCGTGAATTCTTCCGTATTCTAATAAAATAATTCATTTTTGTTTTCGGAAATCATTCATTTCGTATACTACTTATGAGAAATGTCCAATCCAGTTTAGTTTGGTTCAACGATATATTATAAGCCCAATTACGAGTTGTAATAAGAAAGTTATAACCAAAATACTAAAGTGGGTCCTAATTGAATTTTATGGACGACCCAATAATCATGTGGAGGGTCCATTAATTATAATTGTATTCCTAAAGTCGTTGGAATTTATCCTAATCTTCTAGAATCTTCTAGAAGTTATTTTGAGTTCTAAAGGGATTAGGGTTATAATTAGGGGTGTACACCGGTCCAAAACCGGACCGGACCTGGACCTGACCTGTTTGGACCGGGGACCTGAATTGGGTAATTATGAGGACCGGGGACCGGACCTGAATTAACAGGTCCGGTTCCGGGCCAGACCTGAAAAATCAGATCCGGTCCGGGTTTGGACCTGAATGGACCTGTTTTGTGTCTTTTTCGTTTTTTTTTAATACAAAACCTGTTGGACCTGCATATGGACCTGCATATGGACCTGTTTTGTGATTTTAAGACCTGTTGCATAATTTAATAATTACATACAAACCAAAATTATCAATTACAAAACTACATAAAGTCGATAAAGTCCCGATTCTCAAACACCAAAAATACAAATGAGTCCACCGAAAATACAAATAAGTCCACGAAAACTCAGTTTCAATTTTTCAGAGTTTGGTTTTCTTCTTTTTTTTTTTTTTTTTTTTTTTAATTACGATTTTCCCGGGTTTCAGGTCCGGACCTGAAAACCCCGGGTTTGGACCGGGTCCGGACCGGGACCGGGAACCTGGATTTTTAAGAACCGGGACCGGACCTGAATCAACAGGTCCGGGTTAGGTCCGGTCCGGTTCAGGTCGGTTCAGGTCCGGTTTCAGGTCCGGACCAATTTTTGTACACCCCTAGTTATAATTGTCATTGATTTTGAAAAGATAAAGAGTTCTATTTGGAATAAAACAAGTGTTTTTAAAAGATTAAATCCGGTTTGATTACAGATAAGTACGGATTCTAAGTAAACTAATTTGATTAGGAGAAGGACTCCGTACGGAAACTTTATCGTACAACAACCATCGCCGCTGCAATGGGCTTATCGCCATGTGATAGAGCTAGCTATCGCGCCGCGATAGCCCTGTCGCGTCACAATGGAGCTAGTTTTAATCCGAGTCAGATTCCTACTCTTTTCTATCGTTTACGGTTGATTTTTTTTCTATAAATAGGGTCCTTTTCCTCTGTTTCCAAATCATCTACAATCATCTATTCTTTTCTTTTCTGTTTATGGTAAAGCTTATTCTTTTTCTCTCTTGATTTCTAAGCCTAGCCTTTTCAAAATACACCATTCGTCCATCACGAGACTCAAATACCTATAACCAAGCTCGAAGTCGACTTAGACCTCGACGTGAAAGGTTGATAGTTATGAGGGTTGGTCTAATTTCAATTATTATTCTGATTGTTTGATTTAATATTTTCATTGAACTTACTAACATGAGTTTTGTTTTGATAGAAAGAGGTACGAGGCTTCAAAGTGAGTAATTCAATTGCTCTATTTCTTTAGAAATCATGCTTAGATTGTTTCTATTGCTTTCTAGTATCATGTTAATGATAAAGCTTTGATTTTTATTGTTTAGTGACATGCTAGGACTTGTTATTAATCATGTTAGTATTATTCTTATGATCTTGCTAATAATATTATGCTTTGATGAGATTGAGATTATTATTATGATGATGATTTGTTGTATCAATGTTATTATGTTGCTTGATATTATTGTTATTGCTTGATCACGCCCTCTCTTGTAGGTTTAAAGGGAATTTGTAATTGAAATCACGCTTAATAAGATAATTAATAATTGGAAAAATTGCTAAAAATAATACAACCTTTGTCCCATTATTTTTTAATAATACAACCTTTTGATTATTTTATAATAATACAACCTTAAGGGGGTGTTCATTTTAAACAAGACAAAATCGAATTTTTGGTGAGTTTTGAGGTGGGAGAAGGGGAGGGGATATTCCATCCTTCCTCATCCCCACCACCAAAAACTCATCCGTCCCCTTTCTTAGCCTCAAAGTCCGCCGAAAAATTGATTTTATCTTGTTTAAAATGAACACCCCATAAAGGTTGTATTATTAAAATAATCCAAAGGTTGTATTATTAAAAAAGAATGGGCCAAAGTTTGTATTATTTTTAGCAATTTTTCCTTAATAATTTTATTTAGGCTAATATGATTTAATTCAAGTGATCACCAATAATAGATTTGTTTGTGCATTAGTAATTAACCAATATATATTAAAAAGGTTTATGATTAATATATTCATTGTATGTTGATTGAAAAACGCACATGAATATGAAAAGAACAAAGTAGAGGCCTATTTAGGTCAGGTTCAATCTCTTTTAGGTTGGATTTGTAGCTTCATCCATGAATATTCAATCATGATTCAGGACCACTATGGAGTTAGCGATCTTTGTGATTGTGAATGGTTTACAAGTTCCTAAAACTTATTGGCGACTCTTTTGTTCTAGTTTCCTTCCCTTTGGATGCCACCATACTTAAATACATTATCACAGTGGAGCTCAAGTTTGGGATTCTTGAAATATTCCCTACAGTTTTTGGCGACTCCACTAGGGAGGATTTCTATTTTAATTCCTAAAATTTATTTTGACAATAATTAAAAATGAGTGGATAAGACTTGATACGTTCTAAATATTCATGTGCGTAATTTTGATTAACATGAATTGCATAAGCATAAAAAGGTCCGCATTAAAAAGACCATCCGTAATGTGTAAAAAACGTAGGATTTTACACGTAGGAAATTTGGGAAATATCTTTCACAACTAGAATCGAAAAAACGCTGCGAAAAATCGAAAATCCGGAGAACACAGAAAGCTGCCGAGGCATGTAGGATCTGACGCGAGACAACAACGTCCATCGTTGTGCAAAGGCTTTATCACGACATTATGGTTTCATCGCGACGCGATAGAGTCATCGCTGCGCGATGGACTCTATTTTCTCGCGCCGAGTTCTTCCAATACCGAGCCAGAAGTCTGCCTTCTTGTTTTGCCGATTCGAGTACTATTTGATCGATTTTACTTCCTGATTGAATTTTTACCTTCTTTTCCGAAAACCATATGTGTTCTATATGTGGCTTTTAACCCTCGGGAATTCATGCTCCATCTACCCAATCGAACGCTCTGTGCAACAAAGGGTATATCTGAGTTTGTGAATTCACCAAACCATGGAAGTAAGTTTAACCTGCGGAGTCCCATCCATACGCGCCAACCCTTCCAAAGGTAAGGCTTCCGCGCGATGCATCCGGACTCATAACCATGGACCCTCTTTGACTATTATAATCCTTGAACTTTAGAGAACTAGAGACATGGTTAGGTTGTAAACTCATTGCATCATATTGTGACTATTTGTCTACTTATGCGTTTTTGCTTGTGCATAGCTTATGTGTGATTAAACTAACCGTTTGTTTGACTTGTGATTATTAATAATAAATCTAAATAAGCTGATTAATGACTAAAGGACTTTGCTTAATTAATCAATGTGGATTATTAAAGTGTAATAATACTTGATTTAACATGACTTGGCACGACTTTAGGTTCACCCTTTTCGAGCAGAACATTAGAAACAGGTTCAAACTGACGTTTAATTTATGACGCGGAGGTTTGGCTTGTGGCACAAAACGTCAGGGTCCATTGTGACGCAATAATAATATTGCATCCCGATGGCTCTGTCACGACACGACAGTTTCATCAGTCATGCGATGGACCATTTTCTTTCTCAAGTTTTTGCGTCGAGTGTAATTGATTAATTAATTAAATAACCGATTCATAATTTGGTCTTTAATCATGTTTAGGCACATAGTCCCATGGTCTTACTCAAGTGTCAAACATGTCACTTTCACTCATTAATAAACAGCACACACTTTTGTTTATGAGTTTTCACCATAAACAAGTTTGAGAGTCTTGTGTGCGCGTTTTTCATCATTTTTTTAGGGGGGGGGGGTATGAATATTATATCCTCCCAACATAACTATGTTGTTTTAAACCATAACTAGATTTGTTACTTTATTCTCAAAATATGCACCAATTTTTTTTGTCTTTTGTCTTTTAAACCAATAAAAGTCAAAGTTAATTTGAGTCAAGTCATTAAGTCAATGGTTTAATATTACAGCACTTGGTCAAGAATAGAAGGGCATTTAATCAAGGATAACACGTTTGTTCAAATTCTACTCTTCGATAAACGAATCTGGCACATAAGAAAGTTCGTGATCATGGCCACCCAAGAAGAAGTTGATGAGTTGAGACAAACATGGCTAACCTTACTAAGACGATGAGACTCTTGATCTTCAAGTCAATGACCCTACCAAGCAACTTCATCTTGAGCGCATGAAACCTTAACAAAATTTCCAATCACTACAAGTTTCAGGGAATTAGCTCACAAGGGGTCT